GAGTGGAAGGCACAGCAGCAGCAGGTGGCTGGATCAGGAAGTGGAGAGATCACATCTTCAGTCACAAATAGGAAGCAGAAAAAGTGAACTGGAAGTGGAGTGAGGCTATGAACTCTCAAATATGTCCCCAATGACGTACTTCCTCCAGCAAGGCCTTCTACCCATCTCTGGAGGTTCTAGAACCTCCCCCCAACAGCACCACAAACTGGGGGCCAGGCGTTCAAATGCGTGAGCCTGTGAGGGACATTCCTCCTCCAAACCACTACGCAGACCTCTAGGTAAGTCTGTAACTGTGTCTCCAGGAAGTTTTGAGTAAGCAGTGAAGAGTCACTGTGAATATGGACAGCACCACCCCTTGCGCTGGGTTGAAAAATCTGATAAAAACAAGAGAGCAAGCTGGCCATCAGTGGGGTTGAAAAATCTGATAAAAATGAGAGAGTGAGTTGGCCATCAGTGCTCATCTCTCTGCTTCTCGACGGAGGACGAAGGGCTACCAAGGTGCCCCATGCTCCTGCCTCACGCTCCTTCCCTTCACTGTGTGGTGGACTGTGCCCTTCGATAACAAGCCAACACAAACAAAGCCTTCCCTTAAGTTGCCTTTGGCAAGTGTTTTGACACAGAAACAGGAAAAAAAATGACTAACACGGACTCAGCATTGGCGGAAGGTAGGGCCTAGATGGAGAGAGCCGATCGCTAGGCTATTTGAGACTATTGCCCTCTGAGACTATACCTGGTCCCTGGTCCTCCTCTTCCTCTGCTTCCTATGCGCCATGGAGCGAGCAGCCTTTGCCATATGCTCACACCATCACCATGTTCTTCCTCTTTGTGGGCCCAGAGCCAACAGAGCAAAGACTGTAGACGGAACCCCCTGAACCCATGAGCAAAAACGAGTCATCCTTCCTTTAGGTTACGGCAGGCACTTTGTCACGGTGACTATAAAACCGAGAGAGGTGGGAAGGTAAAGTGCTGCTTAGGCCCCCGAACGCTTATGATGGAAACGAGCAGACTGTGGAGGACGGAGGCTGAGAGGTGCTGTAAGGTGGAGCAGGGTGGAGATGGGCCTTTCAGGAACAGAGAGAAGTTTCTCCAGCTCTGCCCCCCTGCCCTCGTCCTGTAGCAAAACTTACACCAAGCTCTCACAGGAACTCCTCCCCAGTGAGGAAATGAGAATGCAGAAATGAGGCGATTGGCCAAAAGCCCGCATCTGTGCGGGTAGGACGAGAGTGCTGCTGAGTTCTTTCTGACTCTGGAAACTTGTCCATGAGTTCTGTCTGTCTGGAAGGGCCAGAGTCAGCTTGCCCTGGGTTATGGCTGATGGGGACACACAAAGCAATAAGTACCAAGCCATGGGAGGTAAGACCCATGTCTCCAGAGGGGGCATCGGAGGCACAGGCCAGGGAGGTCCAAAGATGACTGTGTGAATCTTAGGGGCCCAGGCTGTGCCCTGCCAGGTCGCATGCCTGGGCCTCTGTCCACAAGGCTCATGGAACACCAGCCCCTGCCTTCCTCCGGCTTCCTTCTCCCTTGGGAAGGTGATTTCCTCTGTGATGGTAACACTCCACCCTAAGCCTTTCAATCTCTGACATCTCACTGGTTCCTTGCTTCATAACCTCATCTCTGGAACTTCTCCCAACCTCTGGCAGAAATATCTTCAAAGAGCATGAAAAGGACCCTGAGTGGAGAGGGGAGGATGCAGAGGAGAGGGGGGACCAGACTCTTCCTCCATATGGAAGCCAGGTCCTCATTCCAGTGTACAGCTGGCCAGACACTGGGACCCCTCTCTCAGCTCCGACACCAGGTTTCAGCAATTATTTTGTTGAATTGTCTCACTGGACTGTAGGGGATGAGTAACATGGCTTTAATTTATTTTTTCCCCATGAAATACTCAATTAGACTCTAATTGAGTACTTCCATCCTTGACAGTAGCTATTAAGCTGACGCCACTGTCTCCTCGGCATTTTGCATCTTCAGGCGTCTGGCCCAGGATCCAGCCAGTCGCACCGCGGTTCAAGCGTCTGGTGTCCTGGGTACCCTGGGCTTCAGCTAGGCACCAAGGCTCTGAGAAGCAGTTACATGACCGCTGGGTAGACAAGCACACAGACGCAAAGGCAACGTGAGCACACCCAGTGTGCACAGTGCACCTGACGTGTCTATTGGCTTGAAGAGCGTTCACTCACTCTGCCCAGTAAACACTGTCAACCCTCATTTCCGGAGGAAAAACCAACGGTGATTCAGAGGCACCACTTTAAGAGAGATGAAGTGGTTTTTAGAAAGGCAAGGAGAAGGGCAACGAGGAGAGACAAAGACCATGTCCCGTGTTGGGAGCCGCACTGGAAGAGGGAATTCATAGCTTTATTCAGGCCAAGGGCATCCAAGGCATGAGGCCCCAGACCAGGAAATCCCTTCCCTCACCAGTGAGCACAGGCTCTGGGTGGTCGGTAAACAGAGAGCTACGGAATGTTTACTTTCTAGAAAATAATTCTTTTCTTTTTTCTTGACACTCTGTGTATTTACTCCTTAATCCAGCACCTCTCCTAGCCTCGGAAAATTAGTGTTCCCTGTGGGCCATCACCCTCCCAGGCCACAGACCTTGCCCTCCCTCACCAACCCTGCCTCCTTGGTTTCCCCTCTGACATTAGCAAGAAACAAAGTCAGATGATAGCTTCTCTGCCGATGGCTGCTCCTGCTTGACAGAAGACAAGGGCTGCTTCATCAATCTTCTGGTAGCTACTGAGGCTCTGTCTTGCCTCTGGTCTGCTGCCATAGAGCTTCAGAGGATGCAATATTTAAAAGGCATCAACCAGTGATGGAACTCAAGAGAGACATTTTGGATAAAAAGTTTATTAAGAGTTATTAGCACTATGGACTTACAGACAGACAGACAGCATGGCAGGGACCCTGATGAGAGCTCAGGCTCCCAAAGCAGGTTCTAGGTTCCTTCTTATAGACCCCAGAGGAAGAGGGCCAGGCTGCATGTAGTCAAGGTGTCGTCTCTGATCCCTGGGCCATAGGAGGAGGGGAGGGAATTTCAGGGAAGGAATATGGGGGGGAAGCGAGGCACTTTTAGTTGGAGTGTACCCATTGTGTGGGTGGGTGACAGCCGCCACAGGTAGCCTTCTGATATCAGACAACTTGAGGTTTGTAAACTTCTGGGAAGTGAAAATAGCTTGAATTTGAACCTCAGAGCCCACAGTTAAAAAGACAGACATGGAACCAACAACCAGGAAGCCCACATGAGACCAACCTAAGCCCTCTACATATATGTGACAGTTGTGTAGCTTGGTCTATTTGTGGGACTCCTAACAATGGAAGCAGGGGCTAGCTCTTGGGACCCTACTCCTCATAGTGGGTCACCTTGTCCAGCCTAAATACAAGGGAGGGGGTGCTTAGTCATACCAAAACTTGATATGCCATGTTTTGTTGCTATCCATGGGAGGCCTGCCCCTTTCTGAACAGAAACAGAGGAGGATTAGATTGGGGCGGGGAGTCTGGGGGAGGCTGGGGGGGAGGGAATGGAAGGAGAGGAGAGAAGGGAAACTGGGGTAGGGATGTAACATGAGTTAATTAAATTTTTAAAATGTAAAAAAATAAATAATAAAAAGACAGACGTGATGGCAAAGGCTTGTAATCCCAGTGCTGGCGAAATGGACTCAGGCGGGTCCCTGGAGCCCCCGGGCAAGCCAGCCTAGCCTACTTGGTAAGCTCCAGGCCACTGAAAGACTGTCTGACACAAACAAAACAAAACTGGACAGCTCCTGAGACACCATACTCAAGGATGCCCTCTGGCCTTCACATCTGTACTCACACACATGGGTTGCACCCACACTTATGTGTGCCCCCTCACTCACATGCACCAAGAGTATGCCACATACTGCTTTCCATAGACATCTACCCTAATCACCTTCCCAGATCAAATTCGTGTGTCATGTCCACTGAGATGCTCCACTGACTGCCGTGTGGACACCCACATGGCCTGTCTATGCTGGCTGCCATTCCTCACATGGTAATTCTCCATAGCAGGTAGAACCTCGTGTGGCCATCATCATATGTGTTCATGTGTGTGTGCATGTGCATGTATGTGGTGTGTGTGTGTGTATGTGTGTGTGTGCCTGTGCATGTATGTGGTGTGTGTGTGTGTGTGTGTGTGTGTGTGTGTGTGTGTGTGTGTGTGTGTGTGCAAGAAACAGCCAACCCTACAGAGGCATCCTGACGCACAGAAGGGGTTAATTAAGTAAGACTCACTGAAAGAATCAATGGAAAAATCAGTCCAGGGAAAAGTACTGATGCCTGTGTGCAAAGAAAAGAAGGTTGTGCCGCGATTGACAGTGTGAATGAGAGTTCTGGATCATTCCTGATCAAAAGCAGGCCTCTGCAGCCAGCTGCCCCAGCACTGCTCGGTAGATGACTTGACTTTACCTGAGGCTCAGCTACCTCATCTGGCAAATGAGATGCTGACGTCAGCCTTCCTCAGAGTTGGTGGTTGATAAATAAGTTAACAGGACGAAAGCAGTTAAGAGTAAGACCAGCATTTACCATGTGTGCTGAGAGCTCAAAGACTGGAGTGCAGGAGAGATTTTCCTTTCATCTTGAAATTTATTAGTTGACACTTTACTAGACAACAAAAAGAAAATCGAAAAGACAACAGTGCTTCTCCCTGAAAAGGTAGTGCACTAGGTGTCTTGATGGGTGCTCTTGAAGTTAACTAAAAATGCTCAGATAGACACCACAAAATATCACCTCCTATGCCTTCGTTTCTCTAGAAGAAAGTAAAGACTGCTTAGGTAGAGAGCTGAGGGAACGCACTCCGTGACTTGGATTAGAGCAAGAATGTGGATTTGTTATCCTGAGTGTTTGACCTTGATCATGACCTTGTACTAAAGTGTTAAGACAAAAGGCAAAGCCTAGACCTTGACTGGGAAGGGATAAGATCCAGTCTCTCAAAGGCAGGAGCTCGATGACTCTACCTATAGCAGATAAAAGTTGGAAAGCCATTGACTTACCTGTCCAATGACTGCAGAGAAGATGTCCCATCTCTAATCTTAGTGCTCAAGTCAATCACCTCTCCTGAGAGTCTGTAGTGGAAAGAGTACAAGCCAAGGATGGTAAGTAAGCAAAATCAAAAATGTAAGGCAAATCAAAATTGTAAAAAGGAAACAGCAATAGCTAAAATGTAGAAGCTCAGTAGACAAGTCAATTACTACATCCTGAAAGTCTGTGAACAGGAAGGTTAATCCCAAAATTATCCAAATGCAGAACAGACAACAAAAAGTATAACACAAGACATCTCTTGTGGCTAGCAGTTAATAGTGCTGGCTGCTCTTTCAAAGGACCAGGGTTTGGTTTCTAACATCTATGTGGTGGCTACAACCATCTATAACTCTAGTTTCAGGGGATCCTATGCACTCCTCTGGCCTCCACAGGCACTGAATGCACATGATGCACAAACATTCAAGCTGGCAAATGCTCATACATATAAAATAATTGTTTTAAAATGTTTCTTAAATTCAAGAGGGTATAAAACTAAATTGTCTTAGTAGAGAAGGCATCTCCATATTCTTTTTTGAATACTTTTCAAATTTAAATACTGCATAACTAAGTAATTTTCAAATTCCAGCACTCTATGCTGATACAGAGCATAAATTACTGAAACACAGAGATCCATTGAAAAATTCTTCTCGATAGTCAGAATAGTCCTGAGAATTTAAAACTAAATTATGCATACCCCACAGGCTTTGTAGGGAGACATTTGAATACATTTTGCCATGTTTGCATTCAAAAATCATAATTTGTGGGGCTAGAGAGATGGCTCAGTGATTAAGAGCCTTACTAGTACTCATGCAGAGGACCTAGGGTCAGCTCCCAATTGGAGGCTGCTCTCGTTACCACCAACTCTACTTCCAGGGGCACCTGCTGCCCTCTTCTGGCCTCTCCAAGCACCCAGTGCATGTGGTACACACACATACTCAGAGACACACATATAAAATAAAAATAAGTCCAGAAAAAATACATAATTTACCCAAACATTCAGAATTCAGTATTTTAGGATTCTCCATTAAAAACATTTTAATTAAGGATCTTCAGCTAATTTTAAAGAACATGCACCCACAATCAATTTCATGACTTGAATTAATTCACAGAAGGTTGTCCAAGGCTCAAACACATTTGAAGTGTTAACTGAGTCAGAAGTTTGTATTCATCAAATAAAACATATTACAAAAATAAATTAGTTCAGTTACCCTCAACGCCAACACATTCTTTGTAAATTTCAACGCTATAGCCTCTATTTCAATTGGCAAAACATCAGCTTGTTTTGACACAGTTGCAAATTATATGTACCATCTAGTGACATCGAAGTTTATTTATGTTCCAGGATTTCTTAATTTAGTAAAAAACTATTTTTAACACAGTGTATTCATCAGCAGAAAAACAAATCACTTTGTCTTCACTTCTTAAGTCTGAATCTATGGTGTGCACAACATCAGTCAGCTGTTTCACCTTCCAAAAACTTTGAATCCAAGAATTAATCAGATTAAAAGAGAATTGAAGCATCATTGAAATGAGCTGGTTTTCTATCTGAAAAATCTGATGACTCCAATATAAAATTAGAATCCTTTAGCTAGTTGGCAAGTTCTTCTGCTATCTGAGCCAATGGATTAATAGCTCTGACTTGACCTTTTGTACATGCAACAAGAGAAGTGAAATGGAAAATGACTGAAATTAATTACTTCTTCTAAATGAAAACTTGTGCTTCTCAGGTAGGCTGGCAAACACTCCCTGTCCTGCATAAGAACACTATCTCAGTGTCTTTGGGAACAAACACCCTCAACAAGCCAACAAGGCCCCACTGTGTAGCCGTCCTCCCCTATGATTCTCCTGCTTCAACTTTCTGAGTGCTGGATTCACAGGCTTGGGCTGCCATGTCTATCTGCATGGCTGAGAAGATGGCTCAGTCAGAGAAGTGCTGGTTGGACGAGCATAAGGACCCAAGTTCAATCCCCAGGACCCACAGAAAAGGCCAGGTGTGCTGGCCCAAGTTTGTAAACCCCCAAAGGAGGTGGAGATGAGTGGATGCCAGATACTCACTGGCCAGAACCCAGGCAGAATCCACGAGCCACAAGTGATCTTGTCCCCCAAAGCAAGGTGGGGAGCCCCTGCAGAAGGGCATCTGAGGTTGGCTTCTGGCCTCTGCTGCACCCCTTTCACCCTCCCTATCTATCAGCTTTTTGGTGTCAATCTACTTCTTTAGCAGATTCACACACCTTGGCTTTTCTTTGTGGGGGGAGTCGAACCCAGGACCTCCAGAAGAACAGTCAGTGCTCTTAGCCACTGAGCTATCTCTCCAGCCCCTCACCCCTTGGCTCGTACACTTCCTATAGCAGCATTTTGGCTCCTTGGAAGCAAAAGGTCTCACTGTTTTGTGTCTCTTACAGGTTCATCAGAAACTTTGACAAAAAGCAGAAATCCAGTATTTGCTTTTCATTAAACACGAGCTTTTGTTTACTTAAAACATTGTTTTAAAAAAACCACTTTGTTTTAACAAGAAAGTACTATGAGTCAATCGATTGTTAATAACTAAATAATAAAACACAAAACTGTGAGAGGGTACCCAAATTAATAATACACTCCACAGCAGGGTGACTTCTCATCCGGTTTTCTCACCATACTGATCATTTCCCAGACTTCTCACTGACCCTGCTCCACTGGGGCCTGGGGACCCAGGGCAGTTCAATACTCTGATAGTCATAGGAGCCCCAAAGCACAGTGCTAACAGTTGAGGGGTGCCCTAGATGTGATCTTTCCTCCATTACCATGTTTCCACTAAATCAAGAAGTCCTCTTCCCCAAATAGCAATTAAAATACCAAGGAAATAGAATCCAGAGTTCTGCCTTCGCTTTTCCTGCCTGTGGAGCTGAAGTGGCCCTTGGGGTTCTCTGCACACAGAGCCTCTTAGACCTGCCTCAGCCCTCCTACTCATCTCCAGTTCCGAGTCCTAAAGTGGAAGTGCCACCAAGAAGCAAAGTACGTCCAGGTGCTGTACCCCTGTGGGCTGGAGGGATGTGACCCAGGCAGCAGTTTCTATGTGAAACATACCAGCACCCCCAGGGGCCGATCCCTGACTCAAGTATGAGTCCCTAAGGGAAAAAAGCAGTCATCAGAGATGCAATGGGCCAGCAGCAGGTTGTTTGACGAGAGGCCATTTCTGACTCTCCTCCGTTGCTCTTTTTTCAATGTGTGTCTTGGTGTACATTGGTGTTGACTTCATAGAGGCAAACTCTTTCAAGTGCATCATATACTTGGATCTTATCCACCCTTTCCCTCTGCCACCCCCTAGTCTCCTCCCTTCCCTCATGTCCCTTCTGCTTGTCTGGTGTGTGTGTGTGTGTGTGTGTGTGTGTGTGTGTGTGTGTGTGTGTGTGTGGTTTTGTGTGCCTATGAGAGTATTAGGGGCTGGGAACATGGCTCAGTAGGTAAAGTGCTTGCTGTATAAACATGAGAACCTGAGTTCAGATCCCCCAACAGCCACATACAAAATCCTGGCAAGGAGGCACATGTCTGTAACCCCAGTGCTAAGGTAGGGGTGGTGGAGACAGGCAGAGCCCCAGGACTCACATGCCAGGTGGCCTATGCAAAATGGTGAGCTCTACTCAGAAAGACTTAGTCTCAAATACCAGGGTGGGAGAAAATCGAGAATGGTACCAGAAGTGGGGCTTAGGACTCCATATTGCATGCACACACAGGCAGCATATGAACTGCACACACACACACACACACACACACACACACACACACACACACACACCCCACAGGTACACACACAAAAACTTTAGGATCCACAAAGTGGAAGAAAACATGTAACCTTTCTCTTTCAGCATCTAACTTACTTCACTAAAAATGACGATCTCTGGTAGTATCCCTTTTCCGTTAAATGACATAATTTCATGTCTTCTTTACTAATGGAAAGACTTCCATTGGGTATATCTAGCACATTTTATTTCTCCATTCATCTAATGGCAGATACAGGCTGATTCCAGAACTTGGCTACTGTGAACAGTTCGGCCACAGACATGGGTGTGCTGGTCTCTGCGGCATGTTGACTTAAGTAGGCGTGTCCAGCTTGCAGCTGTGGGGGCCACTTGCACCCCAGCCCAGCCATGAATGTTGCCCAGTACACTTGTAGATAACAACATGTGTAGCAATGTCAAATGGCTGGACACCCCTGGCCGAGCATCTTTGGGGGATGTACCAAGAAGTGGTTTAGCTGGGTTATAGGGTAGTTCAGCTTGTAAATTTTTGACAAAGCTCCTCAGTGGTTTCCACAGTGACCGGACAATGTATTCATGCATTCCCACAGCAGTAAATATGGTCTCATCTTTCCATTTCTTTTTACACACAGAGAAAAGGCTACAAACAAAGCCATGGCTGGTCTTTCCATTCCACCTAAACCACTCAGTCTCAGCTTCAAGCCAACCCCGAGGCATGGCATTTATTTTTATCCTATTTTCAATTAATTTTTAGTGCACAAGATAATGTATCATTTTGATATTTTCATACACATGTAAGGTGTGAGTTTTGTTCTTTCGTATGTTTTAGTGTGTGTGTGGTGTACGTGTGTACACATGCTTATGCTGGTATGCCTGCAGGGGTGTGTATATATGGGGCGGGCAGAGATCAATGCCGAGTGTCTCCCTCAACCATTCTCCACTTTATTTTTTCAGACAGAGTCTCTCTGAGCTGAGATCTTCATGGTTTGGCTAGCTAGGCTGGCTAGGCAATGATCTCTAGGAATCTGCCTATCTTCACCTCCCCAGCAGATGCGCCCAGCACACCACTGCCATATCCTGCTTTTTATGTTGGTGCTGGGGACCCAGGCTCAGGTCCTCATGCTTACAGAGCAAAAGCACTCAGTGAAGCCATCTCCCAGCCCCCCATTAGTCTTATTTTTATTAATTTTAAGTTATTATGCAGGATAATGAGCTTCATTGTGACATGGGTTATACAAGATAATGGGATTCATGCACATAGAAGACACAGATTTCTGATGCGTATTGCAGAAACTGCTGTCATCACCACC